TTCGTCAGATAATGCCACTAATATTCGTTTGACAGAATTTGGTCTTCTGAAAAAAATAACTCAAGTTTAGAACAGAGTCGTTCGAAATGCAGCACCAAGTTCTTTTCTTCTGTCACCGGCGACTTAATTCGGTCGAATGGGCAAACAGTGCTTCTCTCGACTTGCTTCCCGAAGGCACTGAAAACACATTTCAAAATCTCTCCATCTAGAGAAGCAGTAGCTGTACACCAAGACTCTACCCGGTACCTGTAGTCCGAACCAATCCAGACACGTGAGCACAGCGATTCGTCTACGCAAGCCCATTTCCGTCGCTTGTAACTCAGGCTATCTTTTGATTAAGCTCAAGATCAGGAACGTTAGGAACGTTGTATGATGTATCTGATTCAGTTACTAGCATAGACAAGCGGTAATCTAAACTGACTGATTCAACGTGCTTCTTGCAACTGAAGAAGCAGAACAAGCAATGGACTTTAGCGTATATTATCAAGACAAAGTGAAGAATATTACAGAAGTGGCAGTAAACATCGAAGGAACAATTATGAAGGTCGATTGAGAAATTTACAAGAACAGAAAGGAACTTGCGACAGAATTGGGGAGAGACAAATACTGCAACAAATAAAATATTGAATATTGAATGTGTTCAACATTTCTAAGCTTTTAGGAAAAACGTATGAACTAAATTAAAATTGCTTTCGAGCATTGGGAAAGAAAATACGAAGGGAGTATGAAGGTTCAAACATAAAATTTACGATTGAAAACGATAGATTTTACACCTCAAAACGACAAAATAAGCTCTTGTGAAGAACTTTCAGAGATCCTAAAGATAGTGAAAGATTTTTGCAGGAAAGCATAAAAAATCGAAACTGCAGCATAGCTGGTGATCATATGGATCGTTAGGATTAAAAAATGATGTTGACAAAATTTCACGCGTTTTTCAAGAAATGCTACATGCAATTAAATAGTGAATGAGAAACAAAACACCTTGCGAAGAAGGCATTAGGATGAAACGGGTGGAGTCAGAAAATGACTAATCGATTAACCCATTAGAGCACTGTTTGAAAAAACTGGAAATTCATAACTTCCAGAGGGTTGGATCATAGAATTTATGATTTACACTCGACGACAAAGGAGACGGAATGAATTTGACAAATTACTAGTAGAGCAGCTTTCTGCCTATCATCTACACAATATTAAGAAAGTAACGACGAACGGCCTTCGAGATGGAGTGGACGCTGCAGTGCCAAAGGAGCCATTTAAATTCAGAAGTAGATTAAGTACTACAGTTTTTTTCGAATTCTAATTCTTAATGAAGTTTATCAATTTCGAAACAGCCTTCTCCTTCTTCTATGTCCATTACATGTTACATTTCTTGAGGAATCAAAAAATCAAAAAGATTTGTATAAACCTGATCGCCAAGATTTATGAGAATGCAACTGTTAACTGCAGGTATGTGGCTTTAAGAAAAAACAAACAAGTTCAAGGGCGAAAAATGCTTTCGACTGGGCGATGCAATATCACAAAAATTATTCGCAACAACTCTAAAAACAATTTACCAGACACTCATTGAGGAAGATAAAGGGCTGAACATAAATAGCAGCATTTCCTAAGTCGTCTGCAGTTTGCTAACAACGCGCTGATCTTCTCACCATTTCCAGAAGAACTGCAACGAAAAATCTAACATCATTAATGTAGGCCTAATGTTGAACCTATGGGAGACTCGAGTCAATATTTAAAAATGGTTGAAGCCATTGCCTGTTGAGATCAACGGATTTGCGATTGATGCCATAGCTAAACTGCGTCTGCCTAGGAGAAGACATTTGATCTGCAGGAAACTGCTCATGCCAATCAACAAAAGAATAAAAATAGTTTGGAGCATCTTCATCTTCATCTTCTACCGCCGCTTCTCCTTTCGGGTAGCGGAGGCAGACACGTCAGACAAAGCTTCCAACGTTTCCGATCCTGTGTCAGAGTCTGAGCTTCGGCAAAAGACAAATGCAGTCTGGAATAGTCTCCTTCCATATGTTTGCACCAGGTTAATCTTGGCCGTCCCCTAGGCCTTTTGCCGGTCGGATTTGCAAG